GGTTATGGGAACACCAGAGGGTGCCCTCACTTGGACCAGTATTTGAGCAATTACTGATGCCGAGTCAGTGGATTTGGTCTTGCCCCATGCATTCAATCCTAAACATCCACATTTCTAAGGAAATATTCACTCACGGAAATAACACTTCTTTTTATACAGAGCATTGATGAGCCTATCGTCAGACAATTTAATAACTCATTTAATATCGTGCAAAAGAAAAGAAGCATTTAGGGAAGGCAAGTTATCTCCTTGTCCTTTCAGTTTCCATCAAACGCATGGAGTCATGTTTGGAAGGATTAAAGTTAAAATAGAACACTGTTCTTGCCGACGTTTGTTAAGAGAAAATGATGCATTAGCTGATGAGTGTTAATTTTGCTTCTCTAAAAAGAAAAAGAAAGAAAAAAAAGAAAAACACATGATGTACTAATGTGCCTCATCATTTCTCTTTCCTGAGTAATTCAGAGACACGTCCAAGTAACTAACCACTTGTCCTCTTCTTTAAATATGTGTTAGATATGAGTTGTTTGCTCCAACGTGCAGAAATACATTGAAGCATAAAGTGATGGGAAAATATCTGGAAAACCATTTGTCTTTCCAATTCAACAATACTATTTAACGTGTGTGTGTGTGTGTGTGTGTGTGTGTGTGTGTGTGTGTGTTCGACTGTGGTTGTTTTCCAGGAAGGAAGTCTGCATGGAAGAAGGTTGGAGTCAGAAGGTATACGTCTGGACTCCTGTTGTGATTCTGAGTCTGGGGTTGTGGATTTGCTCCTGAATGGGACCCTCTGTGCCCTGTAACCCTGGGTCAGGTGTTCAAAACTGCAGCTATTTCAGAAAACCGTCCTTTCTCTTCACACTTCGATTCATGAGTTACACATTCAAGAAGACTGACTCCACACAAATTACTCCAAATTAAATGATATCTATGTTGGACACGCACGCTCACTAAGTCATATGCTATTTAGAAGAGTCCAGAAGGGGGCTGGTTATTTCCTATGTCTTCTGGAACACTTGCTTTCACAGAACTGAAGCTCCAGTGCAGCTAGTGTGTGCTGACTGTGTCGCAGCGATGGGGAAGGCTATAGGCCTTGGGGCAAGCGCTCAGGAGTATAAAGGATCAGGCTCTGGGCCAGGCCACGTGCAGACATGTTCATTACCAACTTAATGGAGGACACTGTGGTGTTTGTGCAAACTGGGGTTCCTCTACTCTCCTCTTCTCTTCTCTTGGTCATGGAGTTATTCAGCAGGAAGTAACAGCATTGCAGGCAGGATGTTTAAGAGAGGTAGAAGTCAACATGCCTGTGCCAATGTCATTTTTAAAGGATTTTTCACAAGCTAAGTCATTTTAAAACACAAGACAGTTATGTTTAAAACACAAGACCATGTACTGGGCCAAGACAGTCCTGCCTTAGTAGTTTCTGTGAAATCAGGTGCACAGCAGTGGGAAAATCATCTCCTCTCCTATTATGTGAAAGTGAATATGTGCTTTGTGATGAATGAGAAATTTCTAGGTGTATGATGGAGAGATGATGGAGGAGAGATGGATTACAGATAGGTTCTTCAGGGATAGGTGGAGAAAACAGTAGATCGAGAAACAGATAGGGAGTAACATTGTTCTTGAGAGCGATTCCTCAGGCCTCCTTCCCTGCTTGGAAGGTCCTAGCCAGAGGTGAATCTTGAGGAGCAATTACTAGCAGGGCAATATTATCAGAAACTTCCTGGCACCTACAGGGTCACAACCTTATCTACTCTTCACCAAACCAATATTTAACTCTCAGTAGGGCCTCCGGTCTTCCATTGAAAGCCACGATTTCCACAGATGCAGGGGCTGCACAGGGGAGGAGCAAGGACTGCGGAGTACTGGAAGCACAGCACATGAAGGATTCTTTCACCTTTCCTCAGAATGCAGTGTCCAGCTGTGCCAACATTAGAGTTGCAAGGTGGGAATACCACGTTCCCAGACCTTCTGTAAATATTCATCGTGCCTCTGCAGCTCTAGCAAATGCACACGCTGCACCCAAAGTGTGGAGCTGCACACCTGCCAGCCTGAGCAACTGCACAAAGTGGGGTCCTCCTGGAAGCCTAGGAAAAACTTGTGCTGGCCAGCATCTCCCTCTGCTGGTCTGAGATCACCCTGCAAGGCTCCTTCCTGTGACCTCCCCTATGGAATGGGAACCAGGTGGGTGGACTTCCTCAGGTGAGGGTAGCACAGGTGGGAGAAGGTCCTCCTGGAGGTGCTGGCCACACCGTGCAGGGAGCTGAATGGGTAATTATGGGGGTTTTTATTTGATCTGATCTCAGATCAAATAATGTGTGTGCTTGTGTGTGTATGTATGTGTGTGTGTGTGTGTGTATGAAAGCACATGTTAATCCAGCTGAAATTTGGATACCAAAATCTACAGATTGACCAGTATATGTGGATTTTTCTGAGGTCTAGAGGTATCCACCATGGAGAACTCAAAGTGAACAGGCTTCAGGAAAGTGGAATTACCTTTCTAATATCTGAATGCCCCAGGTGACACCGTAGGATGCCATGATTAAGTCCAAAGTCACTTGGGAAACACATTCTCCTCTACTCCATGGGAAGCTGCCCATCTGAGCCTACGAACACTTCCATTTCATGTGTTCTTGGCAATGTCCCCAATACAGCCCCACCAAATGTAAGAAGTATATATATATTTTTACCTTGTGGGAACCAGTTAACTTTTCTTTTGAAAAATGTAAGTTATTTACGAGAGAGAGTGTGTGCGTGTGTAAGGGAGAGTGATCACCTGAGCTGTAGGAAGGACAGAGGGAGAAGCAGACACTCCAGTTGTCAGGAAACCCAGTGAGGGCCTGGATCCATCTCCAGACCCTGAGATCATGACCTGATCCAAGTCAGTCCCTGAAACAATGGAGCTGGCAAGGTGCCCTGATGCTGTGTCTCCTCTAGGCCTTCAGCGGCCACTGAGACATTTATGGGCCTTCTGTCCCTGCTCGTCCACCACCCCACACCAATTTGACACCTGAGGCCCCATTCCATTCGAATTGGAACCTCCAGGAGTCCAGGGCATTCACAGCCATGCCTTGGCTCAGTCTCTGTTCTGAGCAGAAAGGGTCCTTAACCCATGGAGGAAGGGTCCATGCCTCCAAGAATTCCTCACTGTCCCATTGCTCGGTCAAGGAAGGTAGGACCAGTGGTCCGAAAAGCTCACTTGAAGTGCAGTTGTGGACTTTCCACCTGTCAGTAGAGGCTGAAAAAGGTCCTGGACAGGCTCCACTGCAGGAGACTATGTGTCTAGAGGGATGGTCAGGTCCTCTTCTGTTCCTCCCGGACGTTTATACTGCCCCAAGGTCACGTGACTTTTCACCCACTTGAAAGACATCCATCTAATCTCCTTAGCTGCAGCAGGGATTGAGCCCATCAGCAGCTGCCAGGAAGCTAATGATGCCCTCATCAGAACGATTTCAATGAATATGTGTGTGTGCCTGTGTGTGTGTCTCTCTGAATGGAGATGTAAGTCCATGCGGATATGCTGGACACCAAAATTTCTGCAAGTGAAATCATAGTGGTACATTTTAGCATGGGAATTAACCTCAAGACTCCTGTTTCCTGACTATTGGTATTTTACCAACACTTCTGCTCAATTTAGAGCTAATGGCAATGAAAATGGGGTCAAAGTTTGAGGATATTCATGATGTAATATTCATTTTTTCAATTAAAACTTCCAGTTAAAAACATAGATATCGTATCATAAACAGCATCCTACACAAAATTTTTTTTGGACTCCGTGATTACAGAATAAATATCCTAAAACATAGTGGCGTCAGAGATGACACTTTTATTCCCTTAGTGTCCAGTGATGACAAGTGAATATCAAGAATTCAGCAGGGCCCCAGTGCTTCTGAAGCCTGGTGACTGACCAAGGCCTGGCAAAATGCTCCTGTTGTTCCTGGCCTCTGTTTAGTAAAGAAGACAAATGGACTTAGGTTTCCAACTTTCCTAAGACTTACCCAAATTCATAAAGTGGAAAAGGTCATGGTCACAAGTAGGAATTAATTGTCTTGTCGACTCAAAATTTCCAACAGACACTACTAATTCTGTAAGCAGAATAAACCATAATGACATTTCCAAACCACGAGCTAACGCAGTGCCTTCCTCCCTGCATCTACAACTGCCAAAACCATAATGTGTAAAAATTGTGCAAGCCTACAACATACTCCAATTAAGTCAAAAGTATATAAAGGATATTGGTGTAGAATTACCTGAGGAACACTTATAATTAGGCGTATAAAAACTGGATTTAAGATATAGACTTGTAGGAAAAGGAGTTTTAAAGCAATGTTTCCCAAAGCATAAAAGCAGCCAGAGGAATTCTCTTGTTGTAGACCCGAGACACCCCTAAGCAGAAAATGATATTCATCAAAACCTTCATAATCTTTGTATAGTGGAATCATAGTAGAGAGAGATGAAGGTGTAGAAGCAAAGCAATGGATGACACGTTCCCAAATAATTGGTTACAGCTACAAACATTCTGGCTGGTGAGGAGAACGTGTTCCTATGTGATATCTCAGCTCCTTTGGGAAAGTGATCTTCCCTCTCCTACGGGACTGACATCTGACACTCCTTGGCTCGCTTGCGGTTACTCAAAGGAAAGGGACTTTCAAAAAGATTTCCTCTGATCATAGAAACTCTGAACAAATTCTGTTCAGAAAGGTGCAGGGACAGTTAAGGAGGTTGAGAAGAATCTGAAAGTGTTGGCTGTTTTGAGAGGCAAGATTAGGAGGTGGGCTGACCTGAATGGTCTCTATGAGAGAGGGACCACACCCAAATCCCATAATCCAATCAAGCGATTAGAGTGGATTAGAAGATTGTGTGCCTTATCCCAGGGCCCAAACGCCATAAATGGTGGAGGTGAGGGTCACTATCTGCCATTTGGAAACTGGCTCAGTGAGAGAAGCATCCCTTTGTGACCTGAAGCTCCTGGTTGAATTTATCTTGTGGACACTGTTTCTGCTGACATGGAGGCTGCCTACCTCCAGCGCTCAGAGGAGTCCCAGTTCAACGACTCTCCCAAACCCCAATCATGCTGGTCAAAGAGAGGTGGTGCTGAAGTCCACGGAGGACCCTCTCTGCCTGAGAAGACATCCCCTGCATCAAAGACACTCTCCTCCCTGACTGATCCTTTGGCTCCCGCATCAGCAGGGCTGCCTCCCACCAAGACGCCTCTGAGTTGGGAGGGCCTTTCCCAGGTGGGAGCTGGGCTTCAGAACATGGGGAACACTTGCTACGTGAATGCAACCCTACAGTGTCTGACCTACACAGAGCCCCTCGCCAGCTACATGCTGTCCCAGAAGCACGGGACAGCCTGTAGGAAGCAGACATCCTGCATGCTGTGTACTCTGCAGGCTCACATGACCCGGGTTCTCTGCCATCCTGGACGTGTGCTCCGGCCCCTGCCGCTCCTGCTCGCCGCCTTCCACACACACAAGCAAGAAGATGCCCATGAGTATCTCATGTTCATTCTGGATGCAATGCAGCAAGCATGCTTGCCTGAGGACAAGCCCTCAGACTCTCAGCATGCTCAGGACAGCACCCTCATCCAGCATATCTTTGGGGGGTACTGGAGGTCGCAAATCCAGTGTCTCCACTGCCAAGGCATTTCCAGCACTCTGGAACCTTACCTGGACATCAGCCTGGACATTGGGGCTGCTCAGAGTGTCAGCCAAGCTTTGGAGCAGTTGGTGAAGCCCGAAATGCTTGAAGGTGAAAATGCCTACCATTGTAGTAAGTGTCTAGAGAAGGTGCCTGCGTCCAAGGTGTTGACTTTGCACACTTGCGCGAAGGTCCTCATCCTGGTCTTGAAACGATTCTCAGACTTCACAGGCAACAAAATGACTAAGGAGGTGCAATATCCTGAGTGCCTTGACATGCAACACTACCTGTCTGAGCAGAGGGCAGGACCCTTGGTTTATGTGCTCTATGCCGTGCTGGTGCATGCTGGGTGGAGTTGCCACAGCGGACATTATTTCTGTTTCGTAAAGGCAGGAAATGGCCAGTGGTATAAAATGGATGATGCTAAGGTCAGCGCCTGTGTTGTGACTTGTGCCCTGCGCCAACCTGCCTATGTCCTCTTTTATATGCAGAAGACCGATATGGAAAGAGACCTTGTGAGTGAGTCAGTCGAGGGAGGAATCGCATCTCCAGAGGCAGACCCCGCGGTTGTGGGTGAGGCCTCAGGAGAGAGCACAAGGGATCCCGCTGTGAACCTTGCTGAGTCGGAGGAGCATGGGGAAGAGACCTCAAGGCAACAAACCACATTAGACCAGGGGAGATGCCTCCAAGAACGCAACCGACCTAAGCCTGAACTTCATGTCAGGAGAAGAGAAATTGCTCTTCCTGAGAATGCAGTCATCCTTCACCACTCCAAATACAGACATGAGATGCCCAAGAATCATCCTCAGCAAACCATGGACCTGCTCAACACTGCAGCTGGGATGATCCCACCTCAGGTGGCCGGGGACGTGGCCAAAGCCCCATGTGTGCCAGGGAGAGCCAGACCAACCAAGAGGACAAGTAAGAAGGGACAGAGGTCTGGGGAAGTAGTGCAGGGATGTGTCTACTAACTTTGCTGCACATGGGCACGCACACACACACACACACACACACACACACACGGCGTCACTCTCCACCAAACCCGAACACAGTCCCATACTGGAAATATTTGGTGTTGTGTGAAATGTGTGTTCTGTATGTATGGAAGAACCATCTATCTGGGTGTGTTCATGGGCTATGGCCTTCAACTGAAACTAGAGGACACTGACATTTAAAGCGGGTTCATTGTCATGATCTTATATTGGAATAGTGTGGATTTCATATGGGGTCTATCCAGGAACCTGCCTCTCCTTCAGCCTTGTGAGAGTAGGGGCAACTTGCAGGTGAGAGGCAGTGAGCAGTCAGGATTGAGAGTGGATATGATGCTGAGGACCTGGATTTGAAGTATATTTGACCCTCTCGTCATGCTCCCCACTTCCCATTGCTTATCTTCTATTTATATCGGAAGAGTATTTGCCTGAACAGAGGTATGCGTGGGGCCTTGCTAGTGATGTGTTTCGGTCATTGCTTGGAAATGGTAAGAAAGGAATTAAATGCTTATTTGGGGGAGATAACTGCATCCAGCCTGATTGAATCACGCTGATTATATTATGTTCCCTTCACTATCTCCTACATTAATACTGCAGAGAAGAAACCTGACAGGGACTCTTATTCCAAAGGGAAATGCCCAGCCTCCCACTGAACATAAGTTTCTATGAATATTTTGCTACTGTCTGCTACGTGGCACCTCCTGACACAGAAGTAGTGGACTCTGGATTTCAGACCAGTTCAAATTCTATAAAATGTAGGTAAATCATCCTGGCAAATTGTACATTGGTTGTAAACAGAAATAAACAAGTTAATCTGAAATTGTTTTATAAATGTCTGAATTTCTGAATTTCTGTGTGGAGGTTCCTCAAAGAGTTAAAAATAGACCTGCCCTATGACCCAGCAATTGCACTGCTGGGGATTTACCCCAAAGATACAGATGCAATGAAACGCCGGGACACCTGCACCCCGATGTTTCTAGCAGCAATGTCCACAATAGCCAAACTGTGGAAGGAGCCTCGGTGTCCATCGAAAGATGAATGGATAAAGAAGATGTGGTTTATGTATACAATGGAATATTCCTCAGCCATTAGAAACGACAAATACCCACCATTTGCTTCAACGTGGATGGAACTGGAGGGTATTATGCTGAGTGAAGTAAGTCAATTGGAGAAGGACAAACATTTTATGTTCTCATTCATTTGGGGAATATAAATAATAGTGAAAGGGAATATAAGGGAAGGGAGAAGAAGTATGTGGGGAATATCAGAAAGGGAGACAGAACATAAAGACCCCTACTCTAGGAAATGAACTGGGGGTGGTGGTGGGGGGAGGTGGGTGGGGGATGTGTGTGAAAGGGTGATGGGCACTGAGGGGGGCTCTTGACGGGATGAGCATTGGGTGTTATTCTGTAAGTTGGCAAATTGAACACCAATAAAAAATAAATTTATTATAAAAATATATATAAAAAATAAATTTATTATAAAGAAATGAATTTCTGATTTTTTTTTATTTTTTTAATAATATTTCTTTTTTTTAATTTATGATAGTCACAGAGAGAGAGAGAGAGAGAGGCAGAGACACAGGCAGAGGGAGAAGCAGGCTCCATGCACTGGGAGCCTGACGTGGGATTCGATCCCGGGTCTCCAGGATCGCGCCCTTGGCCAAAGGCAGGCGCCAAACCGCTGCCCCACCCAGGGATCCCTCTATCTATCTATCTTAAACAAGAAACAAACAATGAAACATGTTAGCATCTTTGCATCAATGTTCCCCCATCCAAGCCAATTAGATCCATGGAGCCCAGTGTTACTCAGTATTTCATGGTGTGGGAAGTATTGAAGTCCTTTGGACTTTGCTACACTGACTTCCTCTCTCATGTCCAAACCACCTTCCAACTCAGGGACATTTTCCAGACTTCTCCAACAATGTGGTTTAGTTTTTGGGTCTGCCATGCACAGTCTGTGTCTCTTCTCAGTGAGAAGCTCCATCTCACTCTCCAGCTGGCACATATCTATCGCCTTAGGTTTCTATCTCATTCGGAGTAATGAATAAATAAAATCTCATAAAAACACCCTGATATTTTCTCTACATGATTCAAATGGTCACATTATTTTCTAATAACTGTGATACGTGCATGTTATAATCCATTCTGAAAGGAAATAATTGAAACCTTAAATGCATGCATATTGACCAAAGTTTAAAACACCATGAGAATGATCACCCAAATGATAAGAATCTGCATAATCATGCATTAATTACCTTTCAACAATGGATTTAGTCAATCTACCCCTAAGAAATATAATTGTAACCCAGCATCCATTAGTTAACCTCAAAACTCACATTCATTCAGTTGAGAATGTCTTTCTGAGGTGTCACCTAAGGACCAAAATTGGAGTGGAAGTGATCTGAAATCCTGTGCCCACCTCTTCTTTGTCAGTAGATTGTCACACAGATGGATGATAGTATAGTGTTCTGGGCAGGTTAGAGTTGCTGGGATATGGAGCAATTCCCTGGGGGAGAAGGGTCCTTGCCAGTCATCTTCTCTTCAGTCAAAGTGGGGGGGGGGAGTTGATTGTGAAAGGACTGTGATTTAATCAACATGATCTAATCAGGCAGGATGCATTTAACTTCTGAAATAGAAGCATTTCATTCCTCTTTGCATTTCCAAAAATTATCAACGTTTCCGTATTTATAGGTTGACTTCTCAATATTTTTTGTGCACATAATTTCCTGAAAAGAGATGTGTTGTCATACAAGGCTGTGAGTCATCATCTTACACGGTAGTTTGTCATTTCTTTGTGTGGGCGCCCTGTTTTTTCAAATTGGTGCTGGTTGTATATTACCAAACACGTTGCTACCAAGACTCCACTCAGGCTTACTTGGACAAATAGTCTTTCAATATCAAGAGAAGATAAGCAATGGGATGAGGGGAGCATGAGGACACGTCAGACATGCTCACACCGACTCCAGGTCCTCAGCATCATTTCCACCCTCAATGCTGGCTGCTCACTGCTTCTAATCCTTTACCCGCAAGTTGCCCCTTTGTTCCCCAAGGCTGAAGGAGGGGAGGTTTCACCCAATGTGCATTCAACTATCCCACAATGAATCTATTATTAATGTTTGCTATGAACCTAGATATTAAAATCCTCTAACCATGTGTCTATGTACACAATAAACTCAAAATATCTTTTGCACAATAGTTGATCTTTCACAGTAACTTACGGTAGACATTAGGCATTTTGTATGTATCAACTCCCTGAGGAACCTTTTAAAATTGATTATTGTCATCTCAAGAATAAATCTATTTCATAATTGAGTGGACTTAACTATGTAAAACAGTAACAAAATACATTTAGAAAATAAATATTATAGAGAAGGGGCTGGCTGGTCGAAGAATAGAGGACCTCATATCACCTCATCACTGGAACTTAGGTAGATACCTAAGCATTCAAATCATTATGAATGTCCATGAATTCAAACTCTCCTGTAGGATAAGAATTGCTAGAATGCTGCAAGTAGGAAACAACTACTTTTTTTTAATTGGAGTTTGATTTGCCATCACATAGTTATTTTAACAGTTTAACACCCTGTGCTCATCCCATCAAGTGTCCCCCTCAGTGCCCGTCACACAGTCATCTCATCTCCCTTCTGCCTCCCCTTCCACTATCCCTTCTTAGATTCCCAGAGTTAGGATTCCCTCATGTTTTGTCACCTTCTATGATTTTTCGCAGTAATTTTCTGCCCTTTCCTTTATAATCCCTTTCACTATTTTTTATAATCCCCATATGATTGAAATCATATAATGATTGTCCTTCTCCATTTGACTTGCTTCACTCAGCAGATGGTACTCCTGTTCCATTCATGTCGAGCAATGTGGCTTTCATTGAATTTAATGGCTGAGTAATATTCCATTTTGTGTGTGTTTGTATACACACACATAGATATATATATAAGGCAAGTTAGATTTTAAGCCAGGATTGGATGTAAGAGATGAGGAGGGACAATATACTTCATACTTCAGATATTACCTTGAAAATATCACACTTATAAATATTTATGCTCCTATCATAGAATCAGTCAATTATTCAACTGATTAGCAACCAAATTAAAGACATATATACAGAGCAGTCTCTGCCCTGTTCACATGCAGACTGTATGGAGCAGAGTTACAGTAGTTTCAGTTGGGGATCAAATTGGAGCTGCTGTACTTGCTTCTTTGGTTATGTGACCTTGTGGGGCCCTGGATGGCTCTGTTGGTTGACCCTCTGACTCCTGGATTCAGCTCAGCTCATGATCTCAGGATCCTGTGTGGTGCCCACATCTGGCCCGAGGCTCAGCAGAGTTGGCTTAAGGTTCTCTCTCAGCTTTCCATTCCCTCCCCTGAGCCTCTTGGCTTACTCCCTTTTCTATGAATTGTTTCTATCTCCCTCAAATATATGAATTAATAAAATAATTGAAAACAAAGAAGCATACTCCCATGCTCACCCAGTAGTGCCCCTGCACTCCAACTACGGAAAATTGTAGAGAAAAACCAACAGGAGCTCTGGGGAGAGGAAGGAGCAGTCATTTGTGCTTGATAAGAAAGAAAACCTCAACAGAGCTATGACTATCATCTGGATCCACGTCAGGGATTTCCCTGAGTGACAAAAAGCAGGAGGCAGAGAACTAAGGTCATATCTTGAACATTACCTACCCAGGTTGTCAACCTTTGCTGCCTTAGGAAATCATCTGGAGGAAGATAAAACTCCACGTGTAGATCTCAAATGGGTCTCTCAATATCCATCTCTGAAAGTGGAATTGAGATGACGCAGAGAGGAAAATGCACCAACTCATCCCATTAGTGCCCAAAGTGAGACCGAGGCCCCGCACAGTGTGCATTGCACATACAAAAGATACAGGAGTAAATATGTTTACCAGGCGTCTCTTCATGCCTGAGAGGTGGGTGTACTTGAGAGGCGCAATATCTAAGGATTCCCAGGTCCTT